AGGTGTGTGTGTGATGTAGGTGTGTGTGTGATATGTAGGTGTGTGTGATAGGTAGGTGTGTGTGTGATGCAGGTGTGTGTGTGTGTGATGTAGGGGTATGTGTGTGCATGCACATGTGATGAAGGTAGCTTGAGGTGGGGGAAGGGGAGAATAAGAAAATAATGGGAATGGATATGACAAAGGACAACGACACACATGCATGAATATATCATGAAGCCAATTCTTTGGTATGTCCAAAAACAATATAAAAAGAGAAGAGGTCACATAATTCAACTTAACCTGTATAATCTAATGTTATGGTCCTAAACATTTAAAAAAAATTGTCCTAATTGTTTTGTTTTGTTTTTTTGTAAGAAAGTTAGTGGTTTTGTTTTCATACCATCCAAAGCAAGGCAGATAGAATCTGGGTGCACACACAGCAAGGGGAATTCAGAGAGCCCTTCAAACTGTATGCCAAGGCCTGCTCACCACCAATGACCAGCTTCAGCACAGGAAAAGTCGGAGTTCTTATAGCTGTCTGTTCAGGAAAGTCTGATCTAAGGAACTGCCCCACTGATCACTAAGCCACAGATGGGTACCTCTGAGGTCTTGTCCATGGAAAAGACCCATGCAGAATTAAACTTCACCATGACTACCTAACAGCTCAGAGACAGTTTTAGCAGGCACATACAAGTGATCGCCACTCCTCACATCTAATATGCAAGAAGAGCCTCTTGTATTCTCAGAACCGGGAGAAAGAAGTAACAACCTACCCTCAGCCCTCCCTCCTCTTTGCTTTGTGTTCACGGATTCTGTGTTAGTTTTTTTTTTTCTTTCCCCTAAATATGGGATATGGAACACGGGACCCACTGTGTGACAGGCAAGCACTCTACGACTGAACAACATCCCAGCCCTGAATATTATTTTAAACCTGCACACAGCTCCTTTAGTGGAGGCCATCAAGGGCCCAATGAGCAAAGACATCCAATAAGCACACATTGCTGTGTGCTTTAGAACTAGCCAACACCAGATATTAGAAATTGGAAATCATCTTCCAGATATCAGTCACCAAGTAATCAATATCTGAATTGTTTTGAGTTAAAAGTTACCAAGCCAGGGAGCGGGAGGAAGGGAGTGGGAACTGGGATTGGTATGTAAAATGAGAAAAGATAGTTTTTTTAAAATAAATAAATAAATAAATAAATATTTTTTTAAAAAGTTACCAAGCCCACCACCACCACCATTTGAAATCTTAAGATTTCAAATATCTTAAGACTTCCACTGTATTCCATTCCACAGTAGCTACTGTGTTCCAGTAGCTACTGGTTCTCAAAGTGTGAGGTTAACTTGCAAAGGTACTAAGTATTTTGGCTTTTATTCCTTTAACGGCTGGATTCTAGTAACTCCATGAAGAAAGGACAATGATTGTCCCCCATCTAGGAGATAAGAAAACTGACATTTGGCCAGTCAGTTGGCTTGCTCATTCGTTGGTTTTAAATTCCGACCCCTGTGCATTAATTAACCGTCCACTATCTCAACAAACACCTGAACTAAATCAACTGCTAAGAAGGAAAGTTCTCTTTTGGTTGCGCTCCAGCCTTCAGTTCATCACCACTGTCCCCAAGGGCATGTGACCAAACATCACGTGAGAGCCAGAGCACACAGCAGGAGAAAGCTGCTAGCCACCTGGCAGTAGCAAGCAAAGAGAAAGAAAAGAACATTGGTTTGGGTTCCCTCAAGCCATGCCCAAAATAACTCATTTCCACCAGATCTCATCTGAATGCTACACCAGCTCCCTGAGTGCCACAGGGATGGGGGGCGGGGGCAGAAGCTGGGGACCAAGCCTGCAGCACATAGGCCTGTGGGGCAGAGGGCTATAGCCAAACCACAGCGCCCTGACAACCAGCACACTTCCAATCGCTGGGCTGTGCCTACCGCCTCTGTGGTTTCAAAGTTCTTCCTAATGAACCCAAAACTTAGAGTGCTCATTAACTGGATCGAGAAAATAAGGGGCTCAGAGAGGCTCCTAATTCCACTTCCGTTTTAGAACGGCTTTTCTCATGAAACGGCACAAGAGTCCCTCTGGCTGAAAGAGACCATGCTAGGAGGAGAAGTCACCACAGAATGTTCTGTTGGTTACCAGGCCAAACCTTGGCTCCCTTACAAGCAAAGAGGAAGGGCAAAGAGAAGAGTCTTGAGAGCAAATCTTTCACGAACGAACGTGTCTAAGGTTGTGAATTCAAACTACTCCCCCGACTGTTTTCTACACCTTGAGGCCTACTTAACTCAAGTCCTGCCTAATAAACACCCCAGGCTTAAGAAATGCTTCTTGCCAAGGCTGACAGAAAGCTCACAAATGGACCCTTGTGAGCAGGCATCCCTAGCTGTTGACCGCCTAGTTCTTCAGAAGTGCCCAGCACTTGGAATAGTAAGGCGAGCCACAGCACCCCGACTCCCATGAATTCAAAGCATCAACACCCCCACCGCAGTAGGGTAGGTTGCTGCCCACCCCTTCTGATTTGCTTGAATCTCACACCCATGATGAACAAAGCAATCGGAAGCCAGCGCCCCCACCCTGCAATGAACAGACAGCAGAGACTGCCCCTCCAAGGCCTCACCCAGGCGGGCCCAAACTGGCCCACACCTACCTCGGCTCCCACTGTTGGCTTACAGACCTTGAACCTGGGACTTCACTTTAAAAAAAAAAAAAATCACTTGATCCAGTATAAAACTTGATGAATGAGCGCTCTCAACGGGGTTGAGTGAGAGGAGCGGCCAGAAGAGACTCACCAGCCGGGCCAAAGCAAAGGCAGTCTCTGTTCGCTTCTCAGAGCCAATGGGAAGAGAAAACAAACCTTCCCTATTGTTCCCATCTTAGTGTCCTTTCAAGACCTCTGTGTTGAAAGCGTAGTCCTTAGCGGAACTGTTAGTGGAATGTTCAGCAGGCCGTGAGGGGTCTTTAGGTCACTGATCTAAGCCTTTTGAGAGGGATGGCAGAACCCGCCCCCCATACCTTCCTCCAGTCGTTGAGGCTTTCTGGCCATGAAGTGAGTGGCTTCCGTCCAAGACAGTGTTCTTGCCATAGTGCGCTGCCCCACACAAGGCCAACTGGTCATGCACTAGCTTCCCAAACTATTAGGCAAAAGAAGCCGTTCCTGAAGAAGCTGGTTGTGTGAGGTATTAGCTGTGGCAGCAGGAAGTGAGCTCACTACTTCTTAAAGAAAGGCTGCAAGGCAATGAGATAACTCGGGTCCTTTCACAAGGTAGATGATGCCCAAGTCCAATGCGTAGAACTCAGCTGTGTCTTAGAAGCAGTCAGGTACCACTTGCATTATCATGAAGGGGAGTGATGCACACGCCAGCCACCAACAGGGGACCTTCTTTACTGCACCGAAACATGTCACCATTTACTAATACCAACCACGCCCTGTGCTTGCGAGACAAACACGGGCCAGGTGCTCCATTTACTGCAGTGCTTCCCAACCTGTGAGCCATGACCCCCACGGGGGTTGCAGACTGGATTCATCACAGTAGCAACACTGCAGTTATGAAGTCGCAAGGAAATCAGTTTGCGGTTGGGGGTCACCACAATATAAGGAGCTGTATTAAAGGGTCGCAGCGTCAGGAAGGTTGAGAGCGGCTCATCTCCTGGCTCTTGGTTGCTACTCACGATGGCAGTCAAGCAGGCATGCCGAGTGCTTTATTACAGGCAAGAAGAAGCAGGGCCACACAATGACAGCACAAGGCTGCAATTTGTAGGAGATGCAATCAGGATTAGAACCCGTAGCCAAGCCCACTGACCGCGTTCTCTCTCCCCACCCATTATTGAGTTTAAAACGCGATTGCCTCAGTGGAAACTATTTCTTGATTGTGCTGCTTTTAATCACAACTCAAAAAAAAAAAAAATGTTCCTTTGTCGTGACCATGTAAAGGAATTTAGTTTACATAGGTTGGGGGGGGTGGTGAAGGGAGGAGGGAAATTGATGATGGAAATGTGGTATGCATTAGACTCCCCAGTTCTCCGCTGTTTGGCTCACTTTCCTTTTCAAGGTGAAGAAAGTAGGGAAGAAGGCACATATGGCCAGAATTGCTAACATCTTTCCATCTTCCCAGGGTTTGCTTTAGGCATGCAGATGACCTGGAGTGTTTGATAAGCAATAACCTGTCCAAAGTTAATTTCTTCACATCTGTGGGTGCCTGCGCTAACCCCACCACCACCGTGCCATGCCTGTGGCACTGAGGCAGAAGTTGGCACGGGCCCAGAATAGCCACGAATCGATCCCCATTGCTCTCTCTAATCCTGCCATGCTCACTGCCAGGATGCTAGGAAACTCACCCATGGGTGGGTTTGCCATGCAAATGCCGGTGGCATCAAAGACCCAGGGGAGACAGCAGCTGGGACAGCAGCCTCGGGGCACAATACTGTGTGGACCACTTCCTAGCTGTAAGACACAGAGCACAGCCTTGCTGCTGGCATGGCTTCCACTCACCTGCCCTGTTAGATAAACACAGCCCCGAAACTAAACCTTGAGCTGCAGATTGCAGTCACCTTAAAACAAAAGAAGAAGGGGAAAAACTAAAGGGAAACAAAACCATTCCTTTTTCTTCCTTAGCATCCATTTAACGTCCCCTGAGGGTAAAGCATTACTCTTATCTATGCAGTACCGCCAGCCAATAATTCC